CTATGTTTAGAGTATTATAATAATTGGATGGAGTTAATTATTATGATTTCAATTAAATACATCCATTATTACATAGATTATAAAATGATTCTAAAGTTGATACATAAATTTATTGTGAAATTATTGAAGGATTTTTTTCTTTTTTAGTTAAATGCACAAATTAATTGACTATTTAAGATGATTCACAGAAATTATTACAATTTTAGTTATTTAATAAATTATTTGAATTTTAATATGTAAATTGGTCTGTGAATTTATTGTATAAGTACAAAAATCAAAAAAAATTAGTTCCAGTAATATACTCATTTCTTCATAATTTAAGTTTAGGTGATTGTGGAAAGAAATTAATATCTTAAGGTGTATTAACAGCAATATTTGAACATTTATCAGATAAAATTGTATCTTAAAATTAACTTTATTCTATATTAACTAATCTAATAGTTGATGATTTTGATAGTGTCATGAAAAGTGGTATATTAAAAAAAGTGCATTCACAATTTGAATAAGGATTTTATTCTGCTGATTACATAAATGAGTTAATGTATTGTATCACAAATGCTTTTTACACAGCAAGTGAAAGTTAAATACTTGAATTAATAAAATTAAGATTGGGAGATTGTTTAATTTTATATATAAGTTAATAACCAATGGAACTTTTAGATTTAGAATTATGTAGTGCTATATTTTAAGCAATACATTCTGTTTTTGTTAAATAACCATAAAAGTCTGTGTATAGTTTAAAGAAGAAAATAAGAAATGATTCTATATTTCTTGCAAGAAGCAGTTAAATTTATGATATAAGTCATAAGGATGACAAAGAATATGAAGATATGTTAAAATATTTGAACAAAAATGATTGATGTTTTATTTATATTGGATTACTTTTAGAATTAATAATTATTATATATAATTTTATATTAAGTAGTATTGATTATTTGTTTTTCTAATCAGAGATGTATATATAAATAGAAATAAATACAATTTGAAAATTTAGATCAAAAAATTTTATAAGTGATCTTCATCCTTTTTTAGTTTTCTTTTTAGCTACAATAACATCTGTTGATTATTTAGAAAAAAAATGTTATTATGAATTTGCTTGTCCTTTATCTATCTAACTACCTGATTTAGTAGATTTTCTTTTAACTTAATCTGTTTTAGGAGTATTTTAAACATTAACTCTACTAGATTTATTATTATTTGTATTATTTATGTTAGCATTTGAACTATTTGGTATACTAACTTAAACATTTGATTAATTATTAAATAATAGTTCTTTTGTTTAATTTGTTCCATTATTATAGAATAATTTACTCTTCATACCATCATGTACTTATTTCATATCTTCTCCTAATGCATCAGCTAATTATTTAGATAATTCACTTATATTTGCTTACTTTTCTTATACAGGTTTTTGTTCTTATTATAATTTAGGTATTGTTTTTTTCATTTCTAGATTTTCTAATTTGTCATTACTCTATTCTTTAGCATTTTAATCTACTTTTTCACTTAAATCATCAAGGATAGGATCCTAGAAATTTTTAAGAGTAATTTCATTATCATTATTTTCCATCATTTCCAACCATTTATTTTCTGATGATGCCTCATCAGTTTATTTACAATTCTATTTTTTTTCATTTGGTTATTTTTAATTACATTGATCTTAACCTAATAATTAGATTCTGATTTTTTTCATATCTGTATCTATTTATTCAAACCTTTTGTCTAAATCAGTCTTAAAAACAAATAAATCATCTATCTGTGTTCAATTAAATCATTACTTCTTAATCAGCAACTACATAAACAGGTTTTCTTTTGCTCTTATTTTCCTTCAATTCATTAATTTATTATATAAGAATTGCATTTATATCTTAAATTTCATCTATTTTCACTTACTTTATTATATAAATTATTAATTACATATTCTTATATTTATTTCTCTATTTCTTTAGAAGCACCGCATCCCATTTTTATTTTATAAAAATAATTTCAATTGAAATTAATAAATCAATGTAAATATAATGTAATATAATATCAATTAAGACAATGAAATCATTTATATTTTAAAATTGTAAATTTACCTAGAAAATATGAAAAATAGAATTTAAGTATTCATAATAATGATAATTCTTTGACTAATCTGAATTACTTGAGATTATTTAATCCAAATCACTAATTAAATATACAATTCAGTGAATTTGAAATCCAATAAAAAATTGTTATAAATTGTTATATAAAATATCTAAAATGATAAATCTTATTAAGAATAATAGTAAAATATAATTGATAACCTATTTTGTTAACAAATTGACTAGTTATTAGATATTTATGAATCATTTTATTATTCCTATATTTCAATAATTATGAGTATTCCATAATGAAAGTTAATAGATAATCTATAATCCAGAATTATAAGAAGTAATAAAAATCTAAAAACTAAAATTAATAAAAATCAAGGCTAAACATAATAACAACTTATCTCTTTACAATAAGATAATTTAGCAAATTAAATTAATTTATTTAATGAAAACAGTTCAAAATCCAACTCAATATTTCTTTGAGCAATCAAATAATCCATCAACAGAATATTTACCAAAAATAAATGAGTTTGTTAGTAAGTTGTTAAATCAAAAATAATGTGTTTTATGCAAAAATGATTATAATATGAAAGATAGATTGCCAAGAATATTGATACATTGTGGACATACAATTTGTACTGCTTGTCTCACAAATTTTTATAGGTAATAAATGTTTATATGCTAAATAATAGAAATAGAAGGGTTAGATGTCCATTATGCTTAAAATTAATAAAACATCTTGATTCTGTTGATAGATTACCTGTATGATATTGTATCTAATAGTTAGATCAATCATACAATATTCACAAGAATGTCTGATGATATTAATAATAAGAGTAAATTGCATGGAGGTACAGAAGTGATAGATCCATAACAATACTTATTCACTTAGTTTTAATAATCAGCTTTGTAATCATAAAAGGCAAGATAATAATAATAAAACACTTATCCATAAGTTGATCCAGATTCAGGCTTAGAGTTTTGTGAATTTCACACAGATAGAGTTAAACATTTTTTTTGTATGAAACACAAAGTTACATGTTGTAGAATTTGTTCTGAAATGATTCATTAAAAGAAAGTAATCATGTAATATAAGTAGGATTGTATAGTAGTAGATTTATATGAGATTGATGATGTACCTTAATTTTTGAAAGAAGCTTATTAACTCAATGAAGAAAATAATAATAATCAGTAATTAAATTAGAGAAGAGAAGATATGGGTTTTATATAGGATTGCGAATAAAGTAAGAGTGTTTAATAAAATAGATGATGGAGAGAATTAGTTTAATGATGATGATCTGGAAGATGAATTTGAGGATAATAGTATTTAAAGTATCTGAGAGATTCATTAAAGATATACACAATATATATAATATAATTGGTCTAAAATATTTTGGTTATTGATAGATGTTTTTTAGGTGGTTTGAATTATTTCTTAATTATTACTAATTCAATAAATTTTTGCATTTTATATAATATAAATAATATTGAATGGCTCATAAGTTATCTTAAAATTGGGTTTTCTGGTATGCTCCAAGAGGTAGAAAGGCTATAGCAGGATCAGATCATTATGATGTAAATTTAAAAGAGATTGGTGAATTTAATACAGTGGAGGAATTTTACAGTTATTATTGTTATTTACAAAGACCAAGTGAAGTAAATAAAAATTGAATTTTATAGGTTGAAATTGATAATAAAATCATGATGTTTAGAAAGGAACATAAACCTATGTGGGAGGAGTGTTTAGATGGGGGAACTTGGATTATTCACTTTAAGAAGAGAGAAAATGAATTGCTGAATAAAAAATGGGAAGCTCTTCTTTTAGGTTATTAGTTTTGGATTATTAATAGCATGTATTGGAGAAGAGTTTGATGATGATAATGTTATAGGAGTAGTACTTTCAATTAGGGAGAGAAGAAATTTATTAGAGATTTGGTTAAAAGATAGGAGAGAGAGTGAAAAGATTAGAATAGGTGAGAAGTTGAGATTTGCACTTGAAATGGATCCTAATAATCTTACTTTCTTTTTTAAAGAACATAGTAAGAGTTTAAATGTATATATAATATTTATGAATATAGGATAAATCAACTATGAAAGGAGCTGAATCATATACCTTTGTTAAAACTCCACTTGAAACACCTCAAACAGAACCTAAAGGACATCATCCAGAATTAGATTAATTCAAGCTTTGATTAATTATATACAAAATATAATGGACTTATATATATTAATGATATATCAATTTAATAATCCGATATAATGAGTATTCAAGGGTGCAAATTGTACGGAATATTAAATATCATATAAATGCACCTATTGTATTAAGAATAAAATCAAAATTTAGAATATCTAATTGTATATCATGCAGATTCAATCTGAGTACACATTTAACTTTGATTGGGAAACTGTAGTTAAAGGCTTCTGGAGAAAGTATCCATGTAAAGAATTTGATTTTATCAAATTCAATCAAGTTGTAGATATGATGCTTAATGACAATAATACTATGTCTATTAAGAGAATCGTATAATCTCATTCTATCTAAATTTAGGTTTATGCTCGTAAATTCATGGTTTGGTGTTTGACTCTAGAAGAGATAACATTTGATATTGAGAATAGAAGTATGTAGATGCAAACTAAATTACTGAAAGCTTGTAAGTATTATCCAAACCTTTCAGGAGATGAATCAATCATATATAAAGCAATAGATGATTAAAAAACTCATTACTCTGTATATTAGCATCATTTAAATAGAAATTATTGTCCAATTTTCATCAAACTTTTGTGACCAAATTGCTATCTCAATTCAACAGTTCATTTAAAAAAGGCATTGAAGTTGTCGAAGCTAGATGTAGAGAACTTTAAAACAAATAATGACAATAAATAAATTTTTAACTATTAATCCATTATTTATTATAATATTATATTATGTAAAAGAAAAAACTCTAATTCCCATAAATTAAAGACTTTGAGATAATGGATAGAATTCAATCTAAGAAACAAATTAGAACTATTCCTTATTCTCATAGTCAATCCATCTAGGAAGAGGAAGAACATTCCTCTTTATCTTAGATAAATATATATGGACACTCTAAACCTTCTTTTTTAATGACATTTCCTCAATAACCAAAAGATTGTTAAGGTAGTGAAGAAATTAAAGCTCCTACTATTATAACTAATCTCATATCCAATAAAAGTCAAGAATAACTTCCAAATAAAAAGGATTGTAGAAAATAGCAGCATTTTAATTATTTAGATGAAAGCTCATAGTTTTCATCTAAGATAAATTCAGTATATATAAATATTAATCATTTTGTAGATACGTTCAGTTTTTGAAGATTAAAAATCTATGTAAATCAATTAGGATAGAGTTAAATTACTGGTTAATCAAATGAAAGTTAAATTTTTGAATTTAATTCATTATTCAAAATATAATGATCCTATTCTAACACAAGAATATTAGGAACGTAATACTGAATTTTTATCAAATTTTAGTTTCGCCCCTTAAATATCATTATTTTACAATGTATATATTTTTATCCACTACCTTATCAAATGTACTTTCATGTATTTTTATACCACTTGTTTAATTTTTTGAAGTCTCTTAACTTATTTTAATTATTTCTTAAATGATATATGGATTAACTATTATAACCATTTTTTAAGATTTACTCTTTTAAAGAGGTCCTTATAAATTGTAAAGGGGAGTTATAAAAGTCGATTATAAAGATAGCAAAAAATTATACCTTGATATTTTAAGACTTTTCTTTTTATCTTTTAGCACTCTCATTGAAATAGATCATAAAGCAAAATTAGTGACAGTCTTATTCATGATGTTACTATAATTCATAAGATAAGTGGAAATATTTGAAAACATCTATAAATCAACTCATCATTTAATTTTTATTCTTTAACTGTGGATATCAATCATAATATCCTTTGCTTGTATTTATTAAGGTATATATATGAAATAATAAGAGTTTCTCATTAAGAAGAAGATCCAAACCTCTACTTTTGTATTACTCTTGCTATTTCTCTACTAACTCATTGTTCTAATATAGGTAATACCATATATATAACACTTTAGAGATTTAAGTCACTAATCAAAATGCATTTCTAATATCATGTTACATGATTATATCCTATTTTTGTTTAGCTTATACAACAATGATAGTATATATTTGGATGAAACCAGAAATAGAGATTGAAGAGGAGAAATAAAAGTTACTCAAAGGATTTGTTGAAAGATTTAGAGAGAAATGTGAAAATGATGGTCTTTTAAGAAGATGTTACTCTTATTTGGAATTTAGAATAGATGTAAATAAAATTGTAAATATTTTAGGAAGATCTTAATAAAACTAAAGATCAATTAACAAAGAAACTAAGTCCTGAATTAGAGGATGAGATAGATTTATCTTTAAGATCAACAATGATAGATAAAATTGAATTATTGAATAGATTTTCACCTTAATTCAAATAATAATTGGTTTATGAAATTGAATAAGTTACATTTAATCCAGAAGACAACATTATAATTGTACAATTTATATAAATATTATTAGGAACATTAAATAGAAGATCTAGGATTATTTTACATATTAAAAGGATAAGTAAAGGTTTAGTTTTTAGGTTCATCTTTTGGTAATAATAAGAGAGCAGTTACAACTTTATATGAAGGGTCAACTTTTGGATAATATTCATTTATAACAGGAATTCCTTCAAATATTAGTATTTTCAGTTCTGGAGTTACCACATTGATGAAAATAAAGAGATCTGATTTCATTTAGATAATATCTAATTATCCATAAGACAATGAAATATTTTGTACACTTAAAGATAATGCCTTCTATAATTAAAAGTTATTTGAATGTTATTATTGTAAAATAAGAGGACATTATATTGTAGAATGTAGACATTTATAATATTTCCCTTAAAGAATAAATGCAATAGAAAAACATCTATATACAGAAAAATAATAGAGAAAGTAATTCTCAAGAAGGTTAAGAAAATATTTTGCTTGGCAAGATATGAATTTAAATCAGGATAAAGCTAGACAATATGCTAATAAATAAAGTTAAGAATAAGTTTCAGATGATTTACCAGAAACATCTTAGTTACCTTATTCTGAAAGTAAAGAATAAATTTATATTAGATTAAACATATTAATCAGTAAGTTTTGTTAGTAATTCTTTGGCATAAAAAAATTACAGTCCTGATTAATGTCGATCAGGAAGCAATGTTGAAAGTTTAGATTAATTTAATATTGAATAAGAATGCTCAGATGAATAAACTATTCATATTCAAGAACCATAAATTAAAAGTATTAGAAAGAATTCTAATAAAACAACCTTGAAAACAGCAGGATTTCCTATTAATGTTGAACCAAATAACCTCACAAGTGTAGGGAATAATATATCAGTTATAGAAAAAGATGATAGAGATATTATAAATTAATTGTAAGAGGCATAATTGAACAAAGATAAAACCATACTTTTCCCTGCAGGTCGAAGCAATAATTAAATCAAAGCCAAATTTTAATATCTTAAAGAATCATCTTAAGGAAACTTATTAAAAGAGGATTAAATTAAGACTGATTCTTATCAATAATAATAATAATAATAATAACAATAATAATAATAATAATAATAATAACAACTATCTCATAATACATTAAAATAATCAATTAGACAACCTTCAAATAGATCATATACATATTCTAATTCTTTATCAAAAGATATCTCTAATAATCCTTCATCCCATTCCAAATAAAATAAATCATAAAAATTATCCATTTTATCTAGTTAAAATAGACTCTTTGAATAGAATGTACTTAAGAAATAAAATAGTTCTAAATCTCTAAGTGATTAAAACAAATAAAATAGAAGTAGAAGTTTTAAATCAGCCACTAGACAAAGCACTCCTAATTAAATGTCCTAGTTCCAAGCTATAGCTACCCCAGAAGTAATATAAATTCTTAGAATAGAATCAAGGATATTTCATTAATGATTTGTTATTCAATAAATTCGAAACAATGCAGGAGTACAAAATCTATTATCCTCATAATAATTACAATTAAGTTATAAATCGCTACATTAGATTCTTAGATTCTAACAGAAAAAACTATTTCAAAAGAAAAAAGTTATATAATAGTACTCCTTATTCGATTAAATGCTTTGTTGCGTCTAAAATTAAAAGAGTAAAAAAGCTATTATAAAACTGACTAATTATTTAATATCAATAATTATTAATTCAATTCGAGGAGGTTAGTTCTGACAAATGTTTTAGACTCTGGTGATTTTTTTTATATAGTTCTCTAAGATATTAACAATATCCAGTGCAGCTACTACTTTCATTGCAAAAGGTTTAAGTTTGAGTCTAAAATGATTATGTAAATGGTTTATGATAACATTCATTTTTTATTTAACTTCTAGAGAACTTAAATCGATCATCCCTATTAGTAAAACTATTAAATTGATTCTCCCCATAATACTTATAAATTACTTTATCCTTAGTTGGAATATTTTTTATGAAGAATGTTTTAAGATATTTTGCTTTGAGATCTTCTACCTATCTCTTTTTTTTTGCATCTATTGCAGTCCTAAAATTGAATTAAGTTTAAAAGCTATCTAAAAGTTCTCTAACAGCAGCATCCTAAGCAGGAGATTGTTGAGGTAAATTATTATTAATGATATGATCCTTTACAGCTTATTTCGATTTAGCTAAAATATTTATTTAGATTTATTTATTTTTTCTGGTTGAATTCATTAATGTAAGTGGATCTTTGGGTATCTTTTCAAAGAAGGTGGGTGGTTACCTTTTTAATTTGTCAAATTTTTATTTTTTCTCATCTGATTTATTTTCTTATAATTGTAATCCCTCTGCAGTTGACAAATCTGTTCTTATAGGGTTATCATTACTCTATGTTTGTATTCTTTAATTTAACAATCTAATATTCACATCTAATATACTTCAATTTCATCTTATCCTATAATATATCATTATTATTTTGTTATTATATCATAAACTCTCTTTAAGAGCTTTGTCTTTGTAAGCCTAATGAGATATTTCCAAATTCCACTTTTTTCATAATTGCTGGACATCTTTAAGTCAACATGATGATAATAATTAAAACTTAAAAGATTATAAATATTAAGTTAATTTAGTGATATCATTGATGGCAAATATATGAAAAAAACTCTATAATCTTTCAATAATTGATTATATAATATAAGATCACAATTGATTAATTTTTTCATTACTTAATTTTCATTTTTAATTCATGCAATTATTATTTCAAATCATAATTCTCCTTTAAAGCATCCTTAAATGTCTAAAATAATATAATTTTATTATAATTACTTAAGGTGGCATTAATGTATAATTATCACCAAACAATTCTTTTCTTTTATTTTATATTTGCTAATATAACTATGTTCTCTCATTTAATGGAATAATATATTATTATAAATCTTCTAAATGAGGAATCTATTATTTTTTGATATTATATTGATTTAGTTCATTATTTGTTTTCCTTTCCACTTCAATTTTTTTTTCAATATCTTAAGATTCTTCATCCAAAAGCACTTCCAAATTTTTTGTTAATTCTTTAATTTATTATAAATTTTCTCTTTTAACTTACACTTATTCTCTTAATTATAAAGATTAGAACTTCATTAATTCTAATCTTAGATTATATTAATAATATTTACTATTGTTTTACTAATGCAATATCTTAAAATGATTGTATTCCTTAATGTTTAATCTCACAGAGATCATCTAATTCTTTAGTTCTGATATCATCATAACCCCATTTGTCAAAATAACTCATTCTAGTTTTTTTTTTAAATTTTGGAATATTAATTTAACAATTAAATAAATATCTCTATAAATAATAATTTTTTTGAATGATTATTTATATATAAATGAATATATATATATCTAATAAATTTTCATATTCTTAAGGAGATTAATTATAAATGATGTTATTAGTAAGATATTGCATTTTTAATAGTAATAACAATAAATCAATTTATAATAAAATTATTTATAATTATGGAAAAACTTAGTGTAGCTTAATTATTTCTTAATGAACTTTAAATATTTCTAGCTTTGTTGTTAGGTGAGTATTACTTTTAACATAGGTTTACAATAGTCTTAGGGAATTGAGTCTATAATACCAATAATTTTGAATTTTATTTTTGGAATTACATTTTTTGTAGTTAAATACAAAGATTACAATATGGTAAAAGTTGTATGGAAATTGAAATTATTAATAATATTGATATAAGTATCTATGAATGTGGAAATGAGTCAATATTGTTTAATTATAGTTCATTTGATAGATGATTAATTGTTGAAAGGTTTTTGTTTAGGAACTGCATTATTGATAAACATAATATAAGATCAAGAAACAAATTACATAACAACATTACCAAATAGTATTTTATTATTTTTGAATATAATAATCTGGTTCTGGTTGATTTTAATGAACTGCATATATACAAAAGTTGAGAATGCTTATATTGATTAGTGTGTTCAATAAAAATCACTATAATGTATTGATAATATGAATATTTAGTGAAAGAATCTATTAATAATAGAGATAATGGTAGTAGAGTAAATTAATAATAATCAATGATGTAAGAATTAAATCCACTAAAAATGGAATGTAATGAAGATGAATAGATTTTAAAACATGTAGCATGGATATAAAATCAATCAGTTTTGGTCTACAACAATAAGCTTAATATTGTTTATTAGAATATATTTTTAGGAAAATTATTAAAATAATCAACTTTAGATGAATAATAAACATAATAATAATCAAAGCCTGATTATGAAGAACAATTTTTATGTAGTTAGATTTTAATTGGTAGTAAAGAATTAATTGATATCAATAACAATAATGAATAATCAATAAATAGCGAGTATATTTATTAATTTATAATTTTTAAGTGGTTCCTTCCTGTTGAATAAGATGAATGATTCTCATAAGTGCCAATTGAAGTCATAACTCACAATACGAGACTTGATTTTGATGATGCAAATATAGTTCGATAAGTAGTTTACTTGGAATTAAAGAGATGGTGCACGTGTATGGTTACTCTGTTTGCATTGAAGAGCGATGTGCTAGATTTTGAGAATGTCCAAGTCAAAACTTTTGTGAATAAGATAAATGAGTCCTTCTATGTCTTTTTTCTCTTTGAATAGAAACCAAGACAAAAGAAATCTGTAGATAGTAGCCTTCCAATAATTAATGTATTCACTACTTTTGTTCATGAATCAGTAAGTTATATTAATTGTATTTTAACACTTATTTTATTAACCTAAAGTGAGAATGAGAACAATCTAAAAATATCTCTTAAATAGAATTATTATACACCAATAAAACTAATAAGTTAGAGATTCTTTTTATTTGTAAATAATATGAGAGATTATATATTTTATATTTAAAATTAGTTGTTTTTGAAAATATCAGCATTTAGAGTGAGTGATTTAGTTGAAGAAATAGTAAATATTTTTGAAGATAATTTAAAGATTAGAGAAGTTAATTTAATTACTTCAATAGATTTAAGTGATAATAATTAAGTTTTATTCACTGATATTGATAGAGTAAAATTAAAAAATATTTAATTAGTTAAAATAAATTTTAGCTTGTTTATTAACTTATTGTTTAAAGTATACTTCAGGATCAACATTGAAATTAGATATTAAAAGTTATACTGTTAGTGGAATTATGATTTCATTTAAAGATAGTATGATTGCAAAAGATGAAAATCTTAGAAAATCTATATCTATTTTAATTAAATCTTTGAATTCATCCCTTAAATCTTCATCATTTTATTAAGTGGATCTTAATAATTTATTAGAATTATAAATTTGTGTTATATTATGTTGGTAATTAAGTGGCTCATTTAAAAGAGGAATTGAATTTCTATATGATAGTTAAGGATATGGAACATTTACATTTGTTGTAGAATCATAAACTAGTCAATAAAGAATGCAAAGTCGTTAAGATACAGGTCCAATAAAGATTATAGGATAAAGAAAATATTATGAAACATCATTATCTTTATTGTTGGCTTAAGATAGTAGTGGTTATAGAGAAGAATCAAAGTATATATTATTAATAATTAGATATTATACCTTAAGTTAATTATCAAAATAATTCTCTATGAAACCTGGGGATGCATTTGATGTTCAGAGTGCTTATTTCTCTTAAATATCAAGAATTAAATAAGACTCATCAAATTCTAAATAAGTTTAAAATTCTGGTTCTATTCCAAAATAATCAAAAGAATAGAGTAATAGTCATTCTGGTACTTGGAAATAAGCCTTTCCAGATTCAGTTTAATAAACCTATAAAAAGAATAGGAATGAAAGAAGTGAATCATAATAGGATTCTGTTAAAACTCATTCTGTATATGATTTAGGATTAGAAATGAGTACTCCATCTATACATCCTCCTGAATTCACTCCTAAATTACTTCCATCTGTTATTAAGTACAGATTAAGATTGCAATGCTGTTCTAAAGTTTTGATTGTTGATAATGATCATTATAGTGTATTATCTTTATAGAAGGTGTTAGAAAAATATAATATAAAATGTGATAAAGCATTTAATGGTGTAGAGGCTCAATAAATGATTTCAAATAAATAAATTAAACCTTGTCATTGTGGAAATAGATCATATTTATTATTTTTTATTGAATTTTATTTGCCTGTATATATTAATATAAATTTTAGCTTTTTTCAGGAATTGAATTGGTGAAATTTTTAAAAGATTAGATGAAAATTGGATTAATTGATAAAGGATTTGCAATAATTATTTCTACTTTTATTGATTTGAACTCTAAATTGGAATGTTTTAAGAATGGTGCAGATTATTTTATAGCAAAACCTTTTGATTTGATAGATATTGGTGCTGCAGTTTAATATTTAGATTTTTGATAGTTAATAAATTACACATATCTTTAGATAAACAATTTGATCTTTGTCTGATATCTATTATTGTAACTATATATTGTTCTAATGTTTCTTTTTTTTCTAATTTTTCATTAAAACAATCTCAGAAGCCTTAAATATTTATTCATTAGGAGATAAAGTGACAAAATTTGTATTGAACCAAATTTATAACAGTTTAGATTCTGATACAATGAATTTTTGGAATATTTATAATAAAACATCTCCTTAAAGATATATACCTTCAAAAGTGAAGAGAACTTCCTTCTCTGATATAATCTATACTTTTTCTATTAATTATTTGTTATTATTCTATAATCTAATCAATGTTCCATTAATTGAACCAACCTAACGAATTGAAAGTAATTCTACCTACTGAAATGGTCTATTTATTAAATCATTTTTTAAAAGCAAAACTAAAATAATGAACATATCTAATCTAACTTGGGATTGTTACTCCTTTTTAATTTATAGCATGAATAATTCCATAATAAGTTTTTGCATTTTTGCTTGAAATGTACTTACCACTATATAGTAAATAACAACATATCATCATTCCTGTTCTTCCCTTACCAGCCTTACAATGTACAGCAATAACATTTTTGGGTTTAGATAAAAACCAATTATGCAACAATAGTACAGAAATCTACTATTAAATTAAAAGGTAGTGCTTAATGATCTTCAAAAGGAAATTCTGCCATTTTATAAAAATATTCATGCTTATATTTTCTTTCTGAACATCTAAGTAGCAATCTAAATTTACTAATTAATGACCATATAATTATTATGATGATGTGTATTTAAGAATTTTTTACACTTCTGACATAGGATTCCTATAAATAGCTTCAAAAATTTCTGTAGGAATACCCATAGCAATTAAATTATCTTCAATATCTGGATTAGTTATTATTTATTTAAAAGTTAAATCCAAATTAAAATCATCCACTTTAAATCTTTTCTTTGATATAGATACTATTTCTTTTAAATAATCTCTTTAAAATGGACCCTTAACATTCTTCATTATTTTTTAAGTGATTTCATCTGCACGATGTTGCAAAACAGCAGTGTCATTAATTCTTTAATTTATATGTCTTTTGAAAGATATCTCTATGGAAATTTAATCAATAGGAACCTCCACTTCACATTAATCAAGAACTTGTTATTTAATTTCTTGAACTTTCTAATTGATTATTGGACTTTTTAAAGAGCTTTCTAAATATTCTTCTTCATCACTTGATATCCAATTAAGTGACGTTGTGTCTTCTATATTTTACATAGAGAGCATTAATAAAATTTATTATTTTTTACTATAAATATTAGATAACTATAAAAACTATAAAATAAATTTTCATTATTCTTATTCTGACTAATTAAAATTGTATTCTAATTTAAGATCTCTAATTTAAACAGATAAATTTAATATTTATTATCAGATTTTATAGATATATTATATTTGTTTAGATTTCTATCTATTAAATTATCTATATACAAAAGATTTTTAGATTTTGAATTTCAATAATTAAAATTAAATTACTATTAGAAAAGTTCGACTCAAAAGTTATTCTTAATTTTAATAATTATTGATTTTTTATTTTAATAAATATTTTAACTATCTGTTAATGGAGATACAACAATGCTTATCTTTCAGCTCTTATCTCTTTTTACCAAATTTAGATATGAGTATACAAACCATATTAACACCATAAACTTAAAATATTACATAATAATAAGAGTAATATAGGTAAAAAGAGAAAGAAAATAAAACAATAAATATTAAGGTCAAACTTTCAGATTTATTACCAAATGATTAAAACATAACATTAAAAGAAATTTAAAATGATATTCAATAGATTAAAAATAGATATATGAAATAAATTGTAAATTGACTATTAAAAAAAAGTTTATGATGTTATTACTAATAAATATAATTCTTATTATAAAATTTAATTAAATAATACATCAGTTTTAAACATTTTGATTATCTTTATTTAACAGGATTCTTATATTTTCTATTATCTATTTTTGACATCCAATTTATTAAAGAGCATTTATATATTCATCATTTTAATACTTAATCTAAGAATTTTTATTATCTAAAATACAAGAACAATTTACAATTTTCTTTAAACACATACAATTTTTGAGTAGGCTATTTTTTCATATTCATTGCTTAATCAATCCATATTTAAGAATTTTAAATTACTTCATGATTCATTAAACCTTCTATTAAATTTAATTTATTAAATACCAAAAACATTTAATTTAATCTCTTTATTTTCAGTTGGTAAATATACTCTTTTAAATATTTTTTTAGCAAATAAACAAGCCTCTAAAATAACTGTTGCATAATCTTAATATTTATTACAATGATCAAGTAAAGTGATTAATAATTTTTAAATTGAAAGATATACTTCATGTGAAACTTAGTATTATTATATAGTTTTCTATTATTTTTCAGAAATCACTTTCTAAAGTACTTATTCCAAACATTAAGTATAATTATATGGCAAAGCTATTTCCAATAATTCACTCAATTTCTTAATTATTTCATCTGTAACACTATTATTTAACAGAACATTTTGAAATATCTTTTAATAATTTAAACTCTCTTCTGAAATAAATTCATTATTATCTGAATCTTTAGATTTAACTTGATCAAAAATTGGTTTTTTCACTTTATTCAATATTTAACTATCTGGTTTAAAATTAAGTTATTAATAAATATCTCTCTTAATGACTTCAAAGTCAATTTTGTCTATAATAATATTTTTCTATTATTATTATTTCAAATCAGTTGGTTGATATTATTCTAATTTTTAACTAATACCTGTTAAATCATATTATAAATTCCTTATTACTGAAATCTCAAATATTATAAACTTCATATGTGAATCCTATAATAGGTTTTTTCTCTCTAACTCTAAATTTTATAGATTTTGTTAAAAATTAATAACATCTTTACAACAGGCATCAATGTATTAATTGTAAATAGTAATAAAATTTTGAAAACTTAATTCGCTAACAGCAATACTCAATTTTTTCTTCTGTAATCTATTTAATTAATATTATTTCTCTTCCTCAATTGCATTTTTATACTCTATAGTAAATTAATTTAGAGTTTGGAAATTTTATTAATATTCCTTCTTGTTTTTTAGATTAAATTAAAGTAACTCTTTTAAATAATTATCTTGCTTAATCAAATATTCTTGTTATTCACATATTAAAGTATTATTCAATTACATGGCAAAACATTTACTTTATTCTGATTTAATAAGTAAATAACTTCTTAGAATTGTGAATAATTCTGTAGTTCTATCTTTATCATTTATTAATTTTGAAATCTATAAGCCTATAATATTCAAAGTTAACTACCAATAGTTTCAAGGCTTTTAGAATAGGATTCCTCTAATTGAAATATAGATTACAATAAACTAATAAAATCTTTGGTTGATTTGATTTTTTCATTAACAATTTTCTAATAAGATTCTAAATTATCAGCTATCTCTGTATACCAACTCATAAATAATAATTTTCAGAATATAAATAACTGAATATATTAATTCATTAATAATTGAATTATTATAAATAAATATAAACAATTAATCAATTTAAATTATAAAAAAAGTAGAAATTTAAAATTAATAAAGTCTTCTTTATTCATATTATTTTTTTGTAGAATAATTCTTGCTCTCAAAAAATTAAAGAGGAATTTAAATATAAAACTCTTGTTCAATTTTTAGATTAAAACTATTGATTTATAAGGTAATTATTTATTTATTTTTTTAATATTTTCTTTAAAATAATATTGAATCATTAATAATTTAATTATTAATATTTCTTTAATAATAATCTAAATATATTTATTGAAAGATACTCATGTTTAGTAATTTTGGTAATTTTTTAATCAGCTCGGTCTCAAAATTCAAAAATTTTTAAATTCATTAAAAATTTAAATAAATTAATTAGTTTATTATAATTTTTACTTCATGCTATTCAATTTCTATTTTTTTTTTAGTGAGAAATTATATTTTATTATAAATATAGAAGTAATATATTTATAATAAAATATTTAATTAATAGAATATATTTTCTAATTGCTTTTTTAGCAAAAATAGAATATTTTTTTAAAAATAAGAATTAATCTTTTTATGATATAACTTGCTGCTGTATTAGGTTTATTAGGTTTTGAACCTGCTGGACAATCTAGATTAAATAGTCTTTTACCTGGAGTAACTTGTGATGGAGCTACTGCATTTAGAGATGCAGTTATAAAAGGAAATTAGTTAATGCTATAACTTTTTGCTTTGTTTTGTAAAGAAGGAATAAATTAAAAATTTAAATTCGTTCATGTAGTTCTCACAGATGGAGAAGATAACAAATCTTAAATTAGTTTATAAGAATTTCTTAGATATTAATAATACCTTGAATAAGAACTTCCATAAAATATACTTTAAACATTTTATATAGGTGTAAATGTAGAGAACAATACTACTGTTTAAAAAGAAATGTAAGCAATTTTAAGATGTAGTGGCAAATCTGCTTCATATTATCCAATTAGCAGTAATGAAATTAATGAAATCTTTTAAAAAATATAGATGTAGATTGGTATTAGAATCTAAGAATAAGGACTTATAATTGGAAACAATTAAGCTAGAATTGCTTTAAGATAATAAACTTATGAACCAGTTGTGTCAATGTAAATTAATAATTATATTGTACTTTTCACTCTTGATGTATCTGGATCTATGAAAAATAATTGGTATAAGGTTTGTTATGCTGTCAAAAATTTTCTTAATATTCTAGGATAAAATGATCTAGTCTTAGGGATTATTTTCAATGATGAAGTAAAAGTTTTAACAGCTAATCAATAACCAACAGCTAAAAAGGTTTAATAGCCTTCTCAACCTCCAAGAAAACCTTCTTACTAATCAAGATAAGTTGATTAAACATCAGAAAGTTGTTGTTGCTAAATTTTTTGAAATTTATTATAACTATATTTAATTAGATATTATTTTTTAATTATTTAATAAGGTGTTTAAGTTTAAAATAAATATTTTTATCAAAAAATTAAGCATAATATAAGACTTTATTAATACTGAAATTGTAAATTTAATTCAAAAAATTTTATATCTCTTTTAAGATTATAAGAAATATCTATTGAGATTATTTTCTATTTAATAAATTATAAAAATGTCGTAAATTTCATTTTAAAAATTCCTATCTGCAATTAGTCAACATCCCTTGCTATTTAAACCTACAATACCTTATTTGGAGCATGACTAATGATATTAAGTGAAAGAAATAGTTTAAATTTATATAAATTTCATAGCTAAATATTATGGATTTAAATTTTTTAATGATAAATCAATTAACTAACAATAAGTTATCATCCTATTCTTTTTTACCCTTTTGACTGTAATATATATATAATGCTCCTCCTATCAAAAGCACACCAATAATTATTACTATAATTAGCCAAATAGGAAAGCTTCCTTAATCTTCAGGAGGATTAGGAGGAGGAGGAGGAGGAGGAGGAGGAGAAGGAGGAATATCCCCTTCTATTATAACCCTCTCTTACATGTAAACCCATTACTAATTAGGGTCATTTGATCTTAATTAAAAAGTAATATCATCTTCAAAATAAAAGCTACTTATACATATTTAATGTTATCTCATTAGTGAATATAAAATATATATCTAAAACTACGTTTCATGAAATAGTTGTAATTTACCATTAAAAGAATAAACAAGATTGATAGCTGGAATATATTGTTCATAGGTACATTGCCAAATATTAATGATAGCATTATTAGGTTTTGAATTATTACTTTTTATTTCCATATCATATATTAACAATTGATTAAAATAAGTCAATAAGAGAATGTTTTCATTAGAATAAAAGGTACTCAATTGGGAATGTAAATATTATTAATATAAGCCACTAAATTCAAACTTAACTAATTCGCATAGTTCATTTATTGAACAATCCATTTCATAATTAAAAGAGTATGATGCACTATTTTAAAAGATTATAGTAATCTCATTTTTTCTTAAAACAAATCCAGCCGATACTTGAATTTCTTGTAAATTTATTTGTTATTCAGCAATCAATGATGAAATCATAAATCTTACATAGGAATGCTTTGTTGATGTTCCATTGATTTCTATCATTTAGAATTCAGGGTTACCCCAATTATCGACTGAAATAAATTGATAAACATTATCTTTTAAATGTGTAAATTCCATTTACTTAATTTATTCATACTATGGCAAAATTTAGATTAGTTAAAATTAATTTAAATTGGTACTATTTCCTTTTGTATCATAAATTTCAACCTAATTTCCAACATATATAAAGAAATTGTTTTGATGTAGAAATACCTTTTTGATATTTGATTACAATTGCAATTAGAATTGCAATAATTCACAATCCTATTCATTTTTATATTAAATGATCATTAAATAAAGATAGTCTCCTTATTCGACTTCAACATAAATATTTTCTCCATTTATTAGTAAAATAGATTAAAATTAATGATTTTCGAATAAAATTGTTACTTATTCAAAATTAACTTTTTTATAAATATAAATCAAATTACCTGGAAAACCATACTCTAATGTTATTAAAAAATTCTGATTAAGCTCTTTAATTTATATAACCCTAGAAAACCTCTTTTCTAATTCGTATTTTAGAGGTGCTTCGAATTAAAAATACATATTTTGTAAATGGGTTTCTACTTAAATATCCTAAGCTTAACCTGTATACCAATCATAACCTAAATCTACACAATGCATGGTTTGATTAATCTCATGATATTTTAGATTGATTTTATCACTTAACTGTATAAGTTTATCACCTCTATATACGCTATTTACTGCAATTTATTATATAATTTTATCCTATTAATCATTAGTAACATTAAAATTTAAAGGAATCTGTGTTGTGTATTATATTTATGTGTAATTTTCTTAGAGCATGGCTTTATGCTAAAGATCCCCTGTAATGAAATAATATTTTGGACAAACATCAAGGATATCTCCATATAAAGAAAATGTTTCATCAGGTTCTATTTAAATCTTAGTAAATAATGTATCCAAACTATTTGATGTAACCTTATAGACTAAAATAAAATAGTTTGCAGATTTCTTACTTTATCCTTTAATATAAAATAGATTATTTTTAAATGAATATTGAAGATTAGATATTACAATATTTGAATAATCAATTATAGATATTTGCTTCTCCAAATAGATATTCCTTTTATTTTCATAATTAAAGACTGACACAATATATTAATCTTCATCGATTGATTTAAGTATTCTGACAAAGTGATTTTAAAAAATAGCTAAATTTGACTCTTAATATTAACTTTAAGTAGTAGTATACCAAAGAAGAGTTTGCAAATATTCTTCAATATCATATAAATATAAATTTTGGTCTTATTCAATAAAGATGTAATTAGGTTAATTTTCAACCATATAGATTTTTTTAGCAACAATATCAAAAGTAATAATTAGCTTAGTATAATGATAATAATGAATTTCATATATCTAGATATTTAATTCTGTTAATATGACTAACTATTCATCAATTTTAAGTATCTATTTTACTTTACTTTCTAAAGTAATTGTCAAATTGTCTTAAGGAGGATATATCCAGCTAATTGTAACTTCTTTGTTTTAGAAAATTGCCTAGTGAATATACCAACCATCAGACCACCATAGAGATTTATTTAAAAAATTTTCATAATAAACTTCGTCAAAAATGAAATGGCAATTCATTTCTTCATAAAAAAAACAATCATAATATATGATTTTATTATCAATATCTTATTAAATAAGATAAAAGCTTGATTTTTAATTTCCTTTAAAAAATTTATGAAAGCCCCCAGTTGGAGAATCAGAAATACCTTTAAAATGTGAAAGCTTATATTTTTCAATTTAAATTTCTATTAAACTATTAGGCTCAATTTAATATTGTATGTTTGGACCTTAAAATATAGGATTTATTTTGATTACATTACTATCTGTATTTATGCCACCTACTATGAAACCTTCAGAATATTATGATTATAAAATCTTTTGACATTAATAATCTTCAGTTTTATAGAATATAGTTATTGAACAATTCCCTTGGTAAGCCTCTTAAATTAAAGTGGCTTTTTAATATTCATCCTTAATTGGAGAATCTATAGATAATTGTAAAAAATAATAATTATTTATTGCATAAGCAGAAATTTTAGTATCAGTAATTATTAAAAAACCTTATGCATCCTGATTTGTATTTATAAAATATTACTCTTCATCTAATTGTAAGTTATATATATTTGTTAATTTTTCATTTAATAACTTAACAGTCTTATTGTAAAATAAAAGAATATTATTTTAGGTTAAATATATTTTATATTAAGAATCTTGATTTTATATATCTGCTATTTGCTTTTTCTTATAATAACTTTTATATATGATTTAGTTTTTTGAAATAGCTGCATAAGTTTAGTCAATAGTATAGTCATACGCCTAAATATTAAATGAAAGAGGAAACAATATTTAATTAAATAATTTCCATTTATTATTTTAAAATTCAATAATGACAATTCTATCAGTATCAATCATTATGCTAAGTTCTCCAGTTGTATGAACTTGAAAGTCTTTAATTATAATAGAGTCTTATTAAATGAGTCGTATTAAAGTTTCTTAATCTAAAGAATTTATAAATTTTAAATTATTTTCTTCTTCGATATATATTTAAATTTCTTTTTAGGTTGCTCTGTACATATAATTATCAATTTAATCCAGTTTTATGAACTATGAGGTTGAATTTTGGATATCTAAATATATTGTCTTATTTGAATCCATCACAAGTAGATAATTATTTTATTATTCTTCAATACATTCTACAACAATTAGTTTCTAAATAAACACTATATCCTGACAGATTGATTAGTTTTTTGTTTTTAAAGCCTATAACTATTAAATATCAGGCAAGATTGAATAAATTCCATCATTTGATCCTGTATAGTAAATTTCATCTTTGACTACTAAAATTGTTAAATGATTAATTGGATCACGACTTTTTGTATTTTTTTGGAGTTTATAAGAAACAGTTTTTGCATTTTTAAGATTACCAAAAATGGTTTCTGAATATTTTTATAGAGGAGATGCTATTGTTAAGTATTGATTTTTTTGTTCTAAAGTAAGTCTTTCATAGTTATCATAATGAAAGATAGAGGAAAGAGGAACATTAATCACTTCTTATAAGGTTCCAGTTAGGAATATTGTATTGTTATAAAGATAAGAGCACGAGTGTGCTAGGGTGATCATATATGTCCAAAGGATTAATACCGAATTCATCCTATTAATTAATTAATTAAAATATGGAATCGAATTTTGAAGGTTTTAAATATAAATTATGAATACATGAAGAAAAATTGTTAATATCAAGTCATCAAAAGAAGATTCTACTTAAAATTTTAATATAATTTATTTTTATATAATAATATTTNATATATTTGTTAATTTTTCATTTAATAACTTAACAGTCTTATTGTAAAATAAAAGAATATTATTTTAGGTTAAATATATTTTATATTAAGAATCTTGATTTTATATATCTGCTATTTGCTTTTTCTTATAATAACTTTTATATATGATTTAGTTTTTTGAAATAGCTGCATAAGTTTAGTCAATAGTATAGTCATACGCCTAAATATTAAATGAAAGAGGAAACAATATTTAATTAAATAATTTCCATTTATTATTTTAAAATTCAATAATGACAATTCTATCAGTATCAATCATTATGCTAAGTTCTCCAGTTGTATGAACTTGAAAGTCTTTAATTATAATAGAGTCTTATTAAATGAGTCGTATTAAAGTTTCTTAATCTAAAGAATTTATAAATTTTAAATTATTTTCTTCTTCGATATATATTTAAATTTCTTTTTAGGTTGCTCTGTACATATAATTATCAATTTAATCCAGTTTTATGAACTATGAGGTTGAATTTTGGATATCTAAATATATTGTCTTATTTGAATCCATCACAAGTAGATAATTATTTTATTATTCTTCAATACATTCTACAACAATTAGTTTCTAAATAAACACTATATCCTGACAGATTGATTAGTTTTTTGTTTTTAAAGCCTATAACTATTAAATATCAGGCAAGATTGAATAAATTCCATCATTTGATCCTGTATAGTAAATTTCATCTTTGACTACTAAAATTGTTAAATGATTAATTGGATCACGACTTTTTGTATTTTTTTGGAGTTTATAAGAAACAGTTTTTGCATTTTTAAGATTACCAAAAATGGTTTCTGAATATTTTTATAGAGGAGATGCTATTGTTAAGTATTGATTTTTTTGTTCTAAAGTAAGTCTTTCATAGTTATCATAATGAAAGATAGAGGAAAGAGGAACATTAATCACTTCTTATAAGGTTCCAGTTAGGAATATTGTATTGTTATAAAGATAAGAGCACGAGTGTGCTAGGGTGATCATATATGTCCAAAGGATTAATACCGAATTCATCCTATTAATTAATTAATTAAAATATGGAATCGAATTTTGAAGGTTTTAAATATAAATTATGAATACATGAAGAAAAATTGTTAATATCAAGTCATCAAAAGAAGATTCTACTTAAAATTTTAATATAATTTATTTTTATATAATAATATTTATACATATTATTAAATCATATATGTGATATATTTTATATTATTGGAAGTGACGTATTATTCAAAAAACTTTAATTATAGATAGAGATTAATCATAAAGTAATAATGATTCTTAGAGATTATGGTTAAGACTTATGTTTACATCTTAAATTTTAAACTCTAAGTCTTAGAACTTCAGGTCATAGCTATTTTATTCAAAAAGAAAGAAAATAGATGAAGATTAAATATGCATGGAATATAGACACAATTGATGCTACTTTTCTTTTGAATCCTAGTTAAACATGCGTGACTGATTTTAAAAGAATGATGAAATATTAATAATTGTGAAGCTTAGTTGAAGAAATCAGTTAAATAATACAATTATTGACTGTATTTTAAGGAATAGAAGGATAAAAAATTGACTTATATCCTGCTTTCAAATTTGAAATTGTAAAATAATTATGTGTCTCTTTCGAGGTTGGATATATGATAGAGTTGTTGTCGTTGATGGCAATATTGTATTTGGTTTATTAGGTTTTGAACCTGCCAGAAAATCTAGATTGAATAGGCTTTTACCTGGAGTAACTTGTGATGGAGCTATTGCATTTAGAGATGCAGTTATCAAAGGAAATTAGTTAATGTTATAACTTTTTGCTTAGTTTTGTAAAGAAGGAATAAATTAAAAATTTAAATTCGTTCATGTAGTTCTCACAGATGGAGAAGATAACAAATCTTAAATTAGTTTATAAGAATTTCTTAGATATTAATAATACCTTGAATAAGAACTTCCATAAAATATACTTTAAACATTTTATATAGGTGTAAATGTAGAGAACAATACTACTGTTTAAAAAGAAATGTAAGCAATTTTAAGATGTAGTGGCAAATCTGCTTCATATTATCCAATAAGCAGTAATGAAATTAATGAAATCTTTTAAAAAATTTAAATGTAGATTGGTATTAGAATCTAAGAATAAGAACTTATAATTGCAAACAATTAAGCTAGAATTGCTTTAAAATAATAAACTTATGAACCAGTTGTGTCAATGTAAATTAATAACTATATTGTACTTTTCACTCTTGATGTATCTGGATCTATGAAAAATAATTGGTATAAGGTTTGTTATGCTGTCAAAAATTTTCTTGGTATTCTAGGATAAAATGATCTAGTCTTAGGGATTATTTTCAATGATGAAGTAAAAGTTTTAACAGTTAATCAATAACCAACAGCTAAAAAGGTTTAATAGCCTTCTCAACCTCCAAGAAAACCTTCTTACTAATCAAGGTAAGTTGATTAAACATCAGAAAGTTGTTGTTGCTAAATTTTTTGAAATTCATTATAACTATATTTAATTAGATATTATTTTTAAATCATTTAATAAGGTGTTTAAGTTTAAAATAAATATTTTTATTAAAAAATTAAACATTATATTAAGACTTTATTAATACTGAAATTATAAATTTTATTCAAAATTTTATATCTCTTTCAAGTTTTTAAGAAATATCTATTTAGATTATTTCTATTTGATAAATTATAAAAATTTCATATATTTCAATTAAAAAATTCCTATCTTCAATTAATTAACATCCCTTCTGATTCAAACCTACAATGCCTTATTTGGAGCATGACTAATGATATTAAGTGAAAGAAATAGTTTAAATTCATATAAATTTAATAGCTAAATATTATGTATTTTAATTATTTAATGATAAATCAATTAACTAACAATAGGTTATTATCCTAGTCTTTTTTACCCTTTTGACGGTAATATATATATAATACTCCTCCTATCAAAAGCACACCAATAATTATTACTATAATTAGCCAAATAGGAAAGCTTTCTTAATCTTCAGGAGGATTAGGAGGAGTGGGAGGAGGAAGAGGAGGAGGAGGAGGAGGAGGAGGAGGAGGAGGAGGAATATCACCTTCTATTGTCACCCTCTCTTACATATAAGTGGATCGAGCTACCATAGGACCTACATTAAATAAGTAGAAAGTAATATTATCCTCATAATAAGTGCTATTTATACATAGTTAATGTGATCTTAATAGTGAATAATGTAATAAAATTCCTGATTGGTTATATTCTGGAGTTAATAGTTGTAATTTACCATTAAAAGAATAAACAAAAGAGAAAGCTTAAATCTCCTCTATAGAAGAGAGCCAAACGCTATTGATAGCATTATTAGGTTTTGAATTATTGCTTTTTATTTGCATATCATATATAAACAATCGATAAAAATCTTTGTTATAATATGTCAATAAGAGAATATTTTCATTAGAATAAAAGTTACATAATTGGGAATCTAAATATTATTAATATAAGCCACTAAATTCAAACTTAACTAATTTGCATAGTTCATTTATTGAACAATCTATTTCATAATTAAAAGAGTATGATGCACTATTTTTAAAGATTATAGTAATCTCATTTTTTCTTAAAACAAATCCAGCCGATACTTGAATTTCTTGTAAATTTATTTGTTATTCAGCAATCAATGATGAAATCATAAATCTTACATAGGAATGCTTTGTTGATGTTCCATTGATTTTTATCATTTAGAATTCAGGGTTACCCCAATTATCAACTGAAATAAATTGATAGACATTCTCTTTTAAATGTTTAAATTCCATTTACTTAATTTATTCATACTATGGCAAAATTTAGATTAGTTAAAATTAATTTAAATTGATACTATTTCCGTTTGTATCATAAATTTAGACCTAATTTCCAACATATATAAAAAAATTGTTTTAGTGAAGAAATACCTTTTTGATATTTGATTAAAATTGCAATTAGTATTGTAATAATATACAATTTTATAAATACGAATCTTTGCTATATTAAATAATCATTAAATAAATATTGTCTCTTTATTTAACTTAAACATATATATTTTCTCCATTTATTAGTAAAATAGATGTAATTTAATAATATTTATCGAAATTATATTCTTATAATACAAAATCCTCTTTATTAATAATTCTAACTTTATTCGATATTAATTAAATTAATAAATTCTGATTAAGCTCTTAAATTTATTGACTGTATTCTAAATTGTTCTTTTCCCTTTTTAGAGATGACTTGTATTCAATATTTTGTAAATTCCTGGAAACATCAATATCAAAAGTTTAACCTGTATACCAATCATATCCAAAATCTACACAAATCATGGTTTGATTACGCTCATGATATTTTAGATTGATTTTATTACTTAACTGTATAAGTATTTCACCTCTGTTTATACTATTTACAAAAATAGATTAAGCAAGTTTATCTTATAAATCATTAGTAACTTCAAAATCTAATTGAATCTGTTCTGTATATGATATTTATGTGTAATCTTCTTAGAGTTTGGCCTTATAGCATAGATCCCCTGTAATAATATAATATTTTGGACCAACATAAAGGAAGTCTTCATATATAGAAAATCTATCATTAGGTTTTATTTTAATCTTAGTAAATAATGTATCCAAACTATTTGATGTAACCTTATAGACTAAAACAAAATAACTTGAAGATTACTTACTGTATGCTTTAATATAAAATAGATTATTCTTAAATGAATAGAGAAGATCAGATAAATTAATATCAGAATAATTAATTATTGATATTTGCTTCTCCAAATAGATATTCCTTTTATTTTCATAATTAAAGACTGTGACAATATATTCATTATCATCGA